TGTGTGCGTTTCTGTGTCTAAGCGTGCACACTTGTGTGTGTGTCTGTGCCTCGCTCCACTACACAACAATCTACATGCTTTTGGACGTTTTCCTGTCCGGATGCATGGATTATGTTGGACTCGTCCGAATGCACCTGGCTCAGAAAGCATCCAAATGCTTTGTAGAGTGTTATATGTAGTCGAGCGAGACCCTGTGTGTGACAATGTACCGCTGACTGGCGTCGAGTCACTGTTTGCTTTCTCTGAGGGCATACTCACACTAGGACTTCCCTGCATGTATATGACCTCTTTTCCGATCCGGCTTGGATGCACCTGACCGCAATCCCCGTCCACAAAGAAGTGAAAAAAAAAAAAAAAAAAAAAAAAACTCCTACTGAGAGTATGCCCTTACAATTGTCACACAGTTACAGTAGGACTCGGAGGGCATAAACACACCAGCACTTTGTTGACTCATCTCTCTGGACGTAATTGCGGTCAGATGCATGCAGGAGAGAGGACGCAATTTCGGCCAGATACATCCAGGAATTCAAAGCCCAAGTGTGAGTACGTTCCGAGTGCACTATCGTGCGCCGGGGCTAAGTCCCACTTCTATTAGTAGCAGCATGTAGGGTTTTTTTTTTTTTTTTTTTTTTTTTGCATTTAGTTTTCTCAACGCCTGAATCTGGACGTGTTTGTGGAGAGGTGCGAGTGAGGAAACTCAGCGCAGTTTCTGCACATCTGCACAAAACACGTACAAATTTTATTATTATTATTATTATTATTTTGTGTGTGTTGGGGGGGGGGGAATACGTACAAATTCAGGCGTTGAGGAAGCTCAACGCTGCTTTAAAAAAATATATATATAATATAAAAAAATTCAACGCTGCTGGTGGGAACGGGCCGCGGGGAGACTAAGAAACGAAGGGGGGGGAAAAAAGAAAAAAAGAAAAAGGAAACGGTGGGACTGTAAATGGCAAAACGTCCCCAAAAAAAAAAAAAAAAAAAAAGGCAAAACCGACTCTCGCAGTCTAAGTGCACACTCACACTAGGACTTTTTCTGGCAGAACCTGATCGCGAATATGACCAGATTCAGTCCGGACTGCAAAAGCGTGGGTCTGCCCTAAGGCAGCATCCAACGCCATCAGCCGAAAATGGTTTTCATAGGACATGAGAGAAACAAAATGTGAGAGAAGAGCGGAGGGAGAGGAGGAGGAGGAGGAGGAAGAGGAGGAGGAAGAGGAGGAGGAGGAGGAGAAGGAGGAGGAGGAGAATGTGGGAGCAGTGGTGGATGTGGACAGAGAACTGTAACAGCGCAATGATTGTGATGGATTTTTTTTTTTTATATTATTCTTTGGTGATGGATTTTATGTGTTCGTTAATTATTTGAGAGGGCCTTACTATTTCTTTATTTATTCATTTACTTATTTATTTATTTATTTTATTATTTGCTGTGAATGTTTGTATATGTCTGTATTCGGGAACATCGTCACTGTGACCAAATAATTAGCACAAAAAAGCAAAAAGTCGGGGAAAAAAAAAAAAAGGATAATTAGGACTTTTAAAGGAGGGTTACAACAACTCCGAATAACTTCTGACTGTTCATGGTTCTTTCTTTTTTTTTTTTTTTTTTTTTTTTTTTTTTTTTTTTTTTTTTTTTTTTTTTTTTTTTTTTTTTTTTTTTTTTTTTTTTTTTTTT